TGCAATGCTATATGGCGCTGAATGTTGGCCTTTAAAAGAGAAGCATAATAATAAGTTAAGTGTTGCCGAGATGAGAATGATTAGGTGGATGAGTGGCTTTAAACTTAGAGACAAAATGTGAAATGAATATATCTGTGATAGTGTTGGTGTAGCTCTTGTGACGGATAAAATTAGATAAAGTCGACTTAGATGGTTTGGTCACATTAAACGTCGACCATCTGATGATCCGATTAGGAGAGTAGATGTTTTAGATTTGACTTGTGTTAAGAAAAGCAGAGATAGACCTAGGAAGACTTGGGCTTCTTTTATTAAAAATGATCTTAATTTACTAGAACTAAATTAAAATTATTTATTAAATAGGACGCAATGGAGAAAAAGGATTCATATAGCCGACCCCACGTAGTGGGATTAATGCTTTGTTGTTGTTGTTGTATAAATCTAAATCCACCTTTTTAGTCTAAGGTTAGCAAGCCCTTGAGAGAAGGAATATAATCCAAAGTAACCTTAGTTCAATGAAATCTAGAAGAAACTTCAATCAGTGATACTTGCCAGAAATGCAATGCTCACAGAACCCCAAAACTCCAGAAATCTACCTTCATGACAAGCATTTCATGCTCAATTTCAATAAACCTTGCTCTAACATATGCCCAATCCTCATGCGACAAAATTTAACCAAATCATTTGGAGAAGAAATTGGTATAGACATTATACAACACTAAAGAAAGAAGAGATTATTTTATTTGCTCTCATTAAAACCATTACAGATAACATCGATGAAAACATGTAAAACTCAACCTTCAATCTTAATCTGCGGCAATTAGAGTTCAAATGACCCAAAGGCAAGATTTTCCTTCAAAATTGTTCAATGTTCGATCTCTCCCAAAACACTTATAGCTCCATCATGTTTTGATCTAAATTGTCCAAATCCCTACAATCTTTTAGGTCATTTCATTGCTCACAGGGGCATTTTCACAATCACAAATGTATCTGAAAAAAACCAATCCATTGGAGAGGAAATGTCAAAGGAAAATCTAAATTTGAGAATATAATTTTGAAAAAAAATAAATGAAACTATCAAAACTATTTAAGGCCCACCTATTTGCTCCTATACATTTAATGCCACTCCAAAACTAGATTTGTCTCTTTGATCACCATTTCTTAGAGCTTTCCATACAATAGTTGGCAATCAAATTTACAGCGTATAGGTTTCTTGGAATGATGGCATATGCATCTACTTTTGGACTTCGATTTTTCACTCTCTCATTCTTCCTTGCTTTCTCTAAGATCTTTTATGTCCTCACAAAAACCCAATAATTTGATTTTCACCTTACACTATCTTTCTTAGCTCAATTGATAGAAGAGTACACATCACATATGCTATGGAATTGGTGATGACAATTTACTCAAAAGTGAATGATAGAGAGCATAGAAAGATCAAAGCCTTATCTTTCTTTAATCTTCACTTCCAGTCTGATAGATAAAAAAATAGCTTATAAAAAAAATAAAAAAGCTCTTGCAGTTATATATCCATTTCCAAACAAAGAACAACCCTTACTTTATATAAACACGATTAGTAAGTGACTTCATCATGTAGAAGGATCCAAACTTCTCCTGCAATTTTCATTAACACCATGATCAATCATATTTTGAAGGTCCACATCTCCCAAACAAATCATGGACACTAGGGGTGTCAAAATTTGACCTGATAATCAAACTCAGCTCCAAAAATTGAAGTTCAGGTTGACCCGTATAAGTTTTAGGTCCGGTTCGGATTAGGAATCCTAATCCTTTTAATTTTTCAGGTTGGGTTCAGGTTGACATGCAAACTTGAAAATTACTTAAAATTGACCTGTCAACCAAAAATTGGCCCAACATTGATTCAAAATTTACCCAAATTTCACTTGAATAGCTGTTATGCTTTATGGTGAACAGCTATATGGGTCGAACTCGGGGCAGTGGTTAAAGATGAGTCAAATTTCGGTTGGACATCGTGACCCGTTTAATATTTGGGTCGGGTTCAAGTTTAAGTCAAGCATTTTCGGCTCAAATCCAAACCCAATCTGTGAATCCCATTTAATCCCCCAAATGATTACACTAAATACTTTTTCATTTATCTACAAGTTTCCCTTATTTGTACCCATTACAAAATTCTTCTCGTTCAATACTCTAAACAAAACATTTTCGTATAAAGACACTCTCATCTTCATCTTCTAGATGTTAAAACAGTTATTCCCATTAAAGTCTTTGAAAAGGCAAAGCTCATAATGATTATGTTGGCATAAGTAAAAAAAAGCTCTTGTAATTAAATATCATTTTTTATACAAAGCATAAACTATTACTTCATATAAAGACGACGGGTAAGTGACTTCATCACGAGGAGAGATCCCAATTTCATCCAACACTTCTGTGAAACACTCCCATATATCACATTTCAAAGGATCCCATTATGATCCAACTAATAACTTTATATCCAACTCCAATTTTTCCTCATTTGTACCCATTAAAAAATTCTTGTATAAAGACGCTCTCATCTTCATCTTCAAGATGTTAAAACTCTAATTACAATTAAAGTCTTTGATGATTCAAAGCTCATATTTGATGATTGTAAATTTTATAAGTAACAACAACAATAAGCCTTTATCCCATTAAGCGGGTCGGCCACATGAGTCCTTTTTTTTCCATTTTCATGTTGAGTGTCACATTTTCATTTAATTCTAACAGATTAAGATCACTTTTTATACAATATGCCAAAATCTTTTTAAATCTACCTCTGTATTTCTTAACATAAGTCAAATCTAAAACATCAAATCTTCTAACTGGATCATCAGATGGTCGACGTTTAATGTGACCAAATCATCTAAGACGACTTCTCTAATCTTGTCTGCCACTGGAGCTACAACAACCCTATCACAGATATATTCATTTTGCATTTTGTCTCTAAGTGTCAAGCCACTCATTCACCTAAGCATTCTCATCTCAGAACACTTAATTTTGCTTTAAAAGCAAACATTCTATGCCATAGAGCATTGCAGGTCTTACCACTAACAACAACAATAACAACAAAGCCTTAATCCCACTACGTTTGGTCGGCTACATGAATCCTTGTTCTCCATTGCGTCCTATTAAGTGTCATATTTTCATTTAGTTCTAACAAATCAAGATCATTTTTTATACAATGGGCCCACGTCTTCCTAGGTCTACCACTTCCTTTCTTAACATAAGTCAAATCTAAAACATCTATTCCCCTAATCAGACCATCAGATGGTCGACGTTTAATGTGACCAAACCATCTAAGACGACTCTCTCTAATTTTATCCGTCACAGTAGCAACACCAACCCTATCACGAATATATTCATTTCTCATTTTGTCTCTAAGTATAAAGCCACTCATCCAGCCACTCATCCACGCCACTCATCCACCTAATCATTCTCATCTCGACAACACTTAACTTAGTATTATGCTTATCTTTTAAAGGCAAAGATTCAGCTCCACAAAACATTGTAGGTCTCACCAACATCTTATAAAATTCACCTTTCAGTCTAAACGATACTTTTCTAACACAAAAAAGGCCCGAAGCATTTCTCGACTTCAACCAACCAACTTGAATTCTACTATTAACATCCCCATCTATATCACCATCGCTTTGAACAATAGACCCTAGATATTTAAACCGTTCACACCTTTTAATAATTTGATCACCCAAAGATACACTTATGTCACTAGAGCTACTACTGTTAAAATTACATTCCATGTATTCAGTTTTAGTTCTACTCAAATGAAGGCCTTTAGACTCCAATGTAGACCTCCATAATTCAAGTTTTTCCTGAGCTTTTTCTCTCGTCTAATCCACGATAAGGATATCATCAACAAAAAACATACACCAAGGTACATCCTCCTGTAATGTCCAGTAAGACCATCAATAACTAAAGCAGGTCTTACCACCATCTTATAAAATTTTCTTCTTTAAGTCTAAGAGATATTTTTCTATCACACAATAGGACTAATGCATTCCTCCACTTCAACCAACCAGCTTGAATACTACTAATGACATCCCCATATATCATCATCACTTTGAACAATGGACCTAAGATATTAAAAAAGTTCACACCTTTTAATGGTTTGATAAACCATAATTACAAATTAGCCACTAGATCTACAAGTAAATTACATTCCGTGTAATCAGTTTTAGATCTACTCAAACAAAGACATTTATATTCCAATACAGACCTCCATAATTCAAGTTTTTTCTGAACTCTTTCTCTAGTGTAATCCACAAGTTGGATATCATCAGCGAGAAGCATACACCAAGTTACATCCTCCTGTAAATGTCCAGTAAGAGCATCCATGACTAAAGCAAAAAGATACAGACTTAAAGCTGATCCCTGATGTAATCTAACTGAAATAGAAAAATACTTGTTCAATCCTCCTGTTCAAACACAAGTAACAACTCTAGCATTGTTACTTTAATGACTTGAATATAAGTCATGTCAACACATTTCTTCTCTAGAACTCTCCAAAAGATTTCTCTTGGAATTCTCTTGGAACCTTATCCCTTTAAATTTTCCGAGCAACAATATGAACGTTTTGGGACATGGGCATAAAGTATCCAAAATCCTTCACAAGGGTTGCAATGAGGAAGCTAGTCCATCATCACCTATAATATGACCACTTTTGCACTATAAATCTTAAATTGAATTATTTTGATACAAGTGTAACTGGAAAAGAAAAAAAATCATTACGCCATACAAAAGGTAGATGCTAATACTTTCCAAACTACGTTTTCTCGTAAAAAACTTTCGCCAGAATGTTGTCAATAAGATATGCACAAGAACATAATTATCTGAAGCATAAATTAGCCCAATTATACAGCCATGATCTCTTATCCAATCCAAGGCATACCTCTTTGACAATTTTAAAAATGTATCACTTCAACAACCCCTCTTCTACCTCCTTCCACATATCAACACCTTTTGGAAATTTCTCCTTCACCTTCTCAATAAGATCCTTCGCCTCATCCACTTTGGAGCTACTTGCAAGCCCATTCACCAGCATCTTCATGCTAGCAAAGCATGGCACCCAGTTTCTCACCATTGTGTCCTTGCAGACACCCAAAGCAGCCCCAAAGTCCCCTCCTTTACACAAGTGGTTCATCAAAGCGAAGTAAACCCAACTCTCTGCAACACAGCCATTGCTACGCATAGACTTGTATAATCTGCTGGCTTCCTCTAAATTGCCTTCCTTGCAAAATCCGACAATCAAATGGCTGTAAGTAACCCAACTAGGCTTCACCTTCTTCTTCACCATCTCCCCAAACAACTCTTTTGCCTGTGCTGACTTTCCAAGTTTGGTCAACCCAAGTATCCTCACATTATACGTGGAAAGCCCCGGATTGCAATCATGCCTCTTCATAAGCTCTAGCACTTTCTCCACGTCGTCAAACCTCTGCTCCTTATAAAACCCCTCAAGTGCGTTGCAGAAAGTGGTCATATTAGGCTTAATTTTTCTCTTCAGCATTTCATCAAACACCGAATAGAATGATCTTGTTGTCCCCGACTCCGCAAATGATTTAATCACGGTGTTGTAGGTCTCAAGATCAGGAGTCACCCCGTAGATTGTGGGGTATTCTCGAAAGATCTTGGCAAGCTCGGAGTGGTTATTGGATATAATGCAGGCGAACAGAAGGGCGTTGAGGGAGCGAGGCGACGGTAAGGAACGAAAGGCACGCAGGGCGTCGTCGAGCATGCCGGCATGGCCGAAGAGGACGATGGCATGGGAGAGGAAGCGAGGGTTGGGGTTTTTAGAAGAAAGTAAGAGGTCATCGATAAGGGTGCGGATTGAAGAGAAGGATTGGGAAGATGAGAGCTTGGAGATGGCAGAGGAGAAGGCGTTGCGGTCAAGGTGTGAGGTGGGTGTTAGAGCTGCGGCGCGGCAGATGTCAACGATGCGGGACGGTTCGTTCTCTGATCTGAGAAGATAAAGGGCAGCGCGGGATTTCTGCTTGGCGGTGAGCAGAGCAGAGGGGTCGGATGGGCTAAGGATAGCGGAGGGGGATGCCGCGGAGAGGTGCCGGACGAGGAGGCGGGAGTGGAGATGTTGGTGGCGGAGCTTTGCGCAGAGGGCCATAGAAAAGCTAGGGTTTTGAGGAGGATGTGGGCAAGAGGTGAGAGAAGTTTGCCAAGGTTTAGCATGGAGAAGCTTAATATTATTTTAACTGGGGGTATAAGTGAGTCAGTCAGCCTGCTCGTGACTTGGCTCAAGATCGACTTAATAAGTGACTCATGCTCAATGAACTAACAAATCAAGCTCAAGCCAATCACGAGAATTGACTCATTTAAAAAAATATTAATATAAAACATGCTTAAAATATATAAAATTTCATTATTCTTTCTTTAAGATATTAAAAACGTTAAAATATATATTTTGTTTCATACATTAGGTGTTTTCTTATTATTTATCTCTTAATTTATTATAAAATTAGCTTAAATTAATATCATTTTCTCTTTCTTATATTATATAAACCACTCGCGAGCCAACTCGAACTCGTAAATTTAAGCTCGAGCTCGAGCAAACTTGATAAAATTAACCAAGTTCAAGCTCAAATTGAAGGTGGCTCAAACTCGACTCAACTTATTTATACCCCTAAATTTTAACAAAGGGACGAGTTCATTAGATTATCTGAACTTTAAATGTCATGGAAGACTTCGTTACATAGCACTCAACTCTTTTCTATTTACATATCTAATACCTGAACTTTAAATTTTTTCATACACGTCACCTTCACTGTGCATAAAAATGTATATTCCACCTTTTAAAAATTAAAATAGAGATATTTTTGATGTGATATAAAATATTTTAATGATATAAATGTATTCATAAGGTTTTAGATATGTACATGCATAAGGATTGGGTGCTATGTATTCTTTTTGGCATTCTTTTAGGAATTCATTGGTTGAAAGTAGAATGAAAATATACATTGTATTGAATATTTTGAGGACATGCCCTCTAAAACATCATAATTGGTCAAATATCATTATTAGTTGTTTTCTTAAAAAAATATGTATATTTTAAAATTATTTTGGAATAACTTATTTCTCTTTTATTCATGGTTTGCTACTTGAAGACCAACTTTAACAAAATGCAAATTTTTAAATGAAACTTTGAATAAAACTTAGATTAAAATTTGAGTAAGTTTCTAATTAATTCAAAGAATGTTCCAACATTATTTGAATATGTTTCAAATAAGGCTCTAGCGTGTTATCAATTTATTCGAGTAAAGTTTAAGATTAAGACATAATTTGAACAAATTCAAATAAGATTCAAATAAACTAGCATACATAGTGATATGACTTTAATACAATATAATGGAATCAAATAACTATAATACGATATATTATAATTTAATACATTGCAGTGCAATACATGAAACCCCTTTAAATAGAATGAAGCTGAACTCTTAAATATTGAGACACATTTTAGTGTAACGTTTTGACTTTTATCAGAAACTTCGAAGTTAAGACTGCTCGTGCAAGAGCACTGCTAAGATTGGCGGCCTCCTGAGAAGTTACAGCGATGGAGCAAAATCATTAGATCTTCAGGCCGAAGAGAATAATATCTTAATGATTGAGAGTTTGAACGGTTGCAAATGGTATGAGAGCATAGGTGTTTAGATATTAGAATTTTTATAAATCATATAAATTCAAATTTACATTACAATTAGGACATTTGCATATCTACATAGCACTTACATATTTATATATCTAACACCTAACTTTTTATATTTACATATATAATACTCAAATATTTAATATAACATAAAAATATTAGGAAGGTTTACATACATGCCTCTCAAATCTTATGCATTTATATATCAACGCCAAAATTTTAATTTTAACCTGCATGGCACCTTCTCCATGCATTCTATGCAAAAAAAGTTGCATGACACTATTTGTAAGTCAAAATGGTGATATTCTTGATGGTATAAATGTAAACTATTTAAGCTTATGTGTTAGGTATGTAAATACATAACAATTGAGTGGTATGTATGTAAATGTTACAAGTAAGGGTTTGTTTGAGACAACTTTTTTGTATGTTTTATTTTTAAAACTGTTATCAGATTTTTGTTTGTGGAACTAATTTTTTGTTAGTTTTCAAGAAATTTCTCTGATAGAAAACAAATTTTTCCGACTTAAATTGTCAGCATGATAGTTGTCAGAAAGTTGATGTATGATTTTTTTTAAAATAAAATAAAATTGTAATAGTCATCACAGCTTTCTGAACAACAGTCTCTTTTACAATAGATTCGTAGTTGCTTCTTCAAACAACCGAAGCTGTCCCAAACACACCGTAAGTTTTATGTTAAATAAGATTTATTAAATCCAATAAATCCATATTTATCAAATTCATAATCCCACAGAAAAAGTTGTAATTAATGACGAAATAAAGTCGTACATCAAAATGATGGAAAGGGGAGGAAGTCAATGAAACACGAGAAAATTGAACTTAAAGAGTATTGATTTTTTTTTTAATATTTGGTCGTATTTTAGGTAAACTTATGATTAAATGTGATAAATAGGGTCCTACCAAACATCCACTTGGAATATATCTTTACATTTTAGGGCTCTCTAGTAAAGGATTTAGAGCGGAATTTAACCTTGATGTAGTCTAAATATTGCATTTTGGATAAAATAAAGCGTTGATAATTCTAGATTTCACTGATTTCGACTTTAAATCCTGGATTTACTAAATCTCGTGAATTAGTAGATTTATGGGTGTTAGGTATGACTCATAATACCAAAATTTGGAGTCTTTTGGAATAAAGAGATGTCTTTTAGAATTGAAGATCTGTGTCTCTTGGAATTTAGTGGGTTGGGAGCAACGAGGGCGCAGCGGAAGCGTGGTGGCCCAACCCACATTGGTGCATAAGAAACTCCATGATATATTTCTCCTGAGGGGCAAGATATTCGCCAAAGTGGAGATTTGTTAGATATGACTCATATTCCATAAATGGGACAGATGCTGAAGCGGAGCGGTGTTAGCGTTGGAGCCCGGTTCTGACCGCTTTGCTCTTTCGATCGCAAATATCGCAATCCCATCTCTGCCTCCTCCAGCACGCCCGAAGTTGTATGATCGCGAAAGGTCGCGCCGCTCTGTCGCGATGCTGATTCGATTTGCGGTTTCCCTAACCGTTCTCGCCTTCCTCTTTCGTGAAGCGAAGCATCCCTTCGCTCACTTCTCTTCGTGATAAAAAGAGCGGCTCTCCTTCAAATTTTGAAGTTATTGAGCAGTCACGATAGCCACTTTTTGTGTTTTCTTCTTCAGGTTTCTTCGGGACAGAGGAAGAGTTCTTCGGGCTTCCACGGGGCAGTGAAAGAAAAGAAGCGCAATGAGGAGTAGTTTCTTGCGGTGAAGAAAGAAGGAAGAAGAAGAAGATTGTTCTCCCTAGGTTTCTTCTTGATGACTTGTGGCAGAAGAGAAATTGGATTTATTTCTCTTGTAAGTTTGTCTTTTTCGGTGTATCTCGGTGTAGAGAGAATAACAGAGAGAGAAGAAGAGAGAAATCAACGAAGAGTGAGAGATTCCTCTTGTAAGTCAAGGTGATCGATTTGTGTAAATCCCTCAAGTAGTAAAATCCTCTGCAACTCCGTGAATATAGGCAATCTGCCGAACCACGTAAATTTGTGTGTTGTTCTTTCTGGTCTGATTTTTCTCGTTCTATTTTTCGCTTCAAAGATCGTTCTCCTGTTTGATTTATATATATACCACATCAACTAGTGTATATCTAAATCATCGCAACAACAACAGAACGGAGCCCACGAGCGGAGTGGAGCGGAAGGATATGTCCGGGGAGTGTCATTATGTGGGTTGGGGGTGCGGGGGTAACACCCCGTGGTTTGGTACATGGGTAATTTAAGTAATTACACATTGTACTATATGGTTATATATATATGTCCTGTTTGTAACCCTAAGTGAGCCTCTGAGAGTCTGAGAGCTGAATATTATATTATGTATTCTTTTCCGAATATTGAAAGGAAGTCGCCGCTCTGCTCCCGAGAATGTAGGCATCTTTGCCGAACCTCGTAAATCTCTACGTGTTCTTCTGGATTTGTGTTGATTCTTATTTTTCTTCCCTGCCCTTGAACCTCACTCTGATACCACTTGCTGAGAAATTAGAGCGAAGAAAAATAAGAATCAACACAAATCCAGAAGAACACACAGAGATTTACGAGGTTCGACAAAGATATCTACATCCTCGGGAGCAGAGCGACGACTTCCTTTCAATATTCAGAAAATAATACATAATACAATATTCAGCTCTCAGGCTCTTAATAGCTCAGAGGCTCACCTAGGGTTACAAACAAGACATATATATAACCATATAGTACAATATGTAATTACTTAAATTACCTATGTATCAAACCGCGGGGTGTTGCCGCTACACCCTCAACCCACATAATGAAACTTCCCGGACAAATCCTTCAGCTCCACTCCGCTCGTGGGCTCCGCTCCGCTCCAGCATCTGTCACATTTATATGAGTCATACCTAACAACAGGTTTTACGGGAGAGAAAAATCTGGATGTAGTCAAACTTTTCAAGTAGTTTCAAATGTATTTATTGGATTTATTGCCAGACAATTTTTAAGATACATCCGTATTTACTAAATACTATTAACTTAAAACTCTTCCGTTACCAGACAGCACCCAAGGGTCAGGAAAAAAATTTGCGTACGTCAATCGTACGCAGAGAAGTGTACGTAATAGGGTACACGAGCGTTATACGAGGGTTACATGGGGGTTACAAGCTTGTTATAACTTTTTTGTAACTTTCGTGTAACTCACCTATACCCCGCGCTTTTATTTTATTCATTGGGGTTACAAGATTACGACGGGATTACACGGAGTTACACGGGAGGTACAACGCGGTTATAACCCTTTGTAATCCCCGTGTACCATTTTAATAAGTAACTAAGAATTTTTTTTCCCAAGGGTCGGGTGTTTAGATATGAAAATACTTTAAGGTGGTCCTTTTTGATAAATTTGGATTTATGCCAGAGAAGGGGTGGAACGGAAAGAGATGGAAGAGATTTGAATGTATTTAATTTTTCTGTTTATTTAATGTTTGGCTGAATTTAGGCGAAATTCAGTGTTGAATCCTATTTAAAGTCTGCTGCCAAAAAGCCCCTAAGAACTGCGTGGATCGCCACCCATTGCCGGCCTAATTTGCGTTCTCCCAGCCTCCCGTCGCCGCAGTAGTCCCCTCCAATTTCTTACTCGTCTTCCTCTTTCCCGATTTCTTCTCTCGGTAACCTTCTATCCCGGTGCTGTATGCTCCTGAATCCTGATCTCTCTTCGATACTTAAATTTTCCAGCTGGATGGGGTTATAGCATCAAAATGTTCATTTTCCGATTGGGATGCTGGTGAAGTTCTTGGGCAACCTGAGATCGTAGTTTCATGGATATAGCACATAGTCATCATCGTGGAATTCGACCAGTATTGTTGCTTATCATTTTGTGTGTCATTCCCTCTTCCAGCAAAGGAGATTCCGATCCTTTGGTTTCTTTGCCAACGAAGGTCAGATTGAATTTTTTTTCCCATTCTTACTATTTCTTCTCTTCTTTTACTCTCGACTTCTGGTTTGGTGATTTGCTTCCATTTTCTCTGTAAATCTGAGTGGGATGTAGGGTTCACAGAATAAAGAACTGAATTTCTTTTGGGAGTTCTAACTTGTAAGTTAAGTTCTTACTACTATAATTTTACGCTCAAGTTACGCATTATGGACTGGTTTTACAGTCGTAAATAAGCTTGGAATTTGTGATTTGAGACTTAGATTTTGATAATGTCTATTCTTTTCTGTTATGTGAGTTCTACCTATTTCTCACAGGCTCACACTATTAGAGTTTGTAACCTAAAATTTGTGGTGCTGGATGGAAAAGTTATCAGTGCGGCATTTGTCGTGGAATTTAAATTATAGAAAAATTTTTGTGAGATTTTGTGGTGCCCTTGCCATGTATGTGTGCCTTACATACATTCCACTCAGTTCTTATCTATTAACATCACTAACACTTAAGTTCAATTTCTACATATGCATGGAAAAATTTTTAAATCTTAAAAAAGGTTGTATTTTTTGACGTGATGTGAATGATTTGGGTGTTATAAATGTAAAAATTAAAGCTTTGATGTTAGATATGTAAATACATGATAATTGGATGGAATGTATGTGTGTGTGTGTCTCTCTCTCTCTCTCTCTCTCTCTCTCTATATATATATATATATAATGCCATGATTGGTGCAGTCTTGTTTTTATGTTATTTGTTTGTCTTTTCGCTTTAAAAAACAACTTGTTTGCTATTGGATTATTCGTGCTGACAGGAATGTAGCTATCCAAATGTCGTTGGCTGCTCTGCTTGTTCACAAGATAATCTGATGGGGTCTTTCTTTGATGCCCACATCAACCTATCTGATTCAGATTTTAGTAATTATTTAGCTCAAAATATTCACTCTGGTGATATTTGTGAAGGCATGATTGATAATATAGATATATTTAGACTTTCATCTCTTTTACGTGAGCTCATTGGTGAAGGTTCCCATAGACAACTAGTCACCACAATGGTATTCTGCCATAATCCAAAGTTTACTCATTTTTTTGAAGACCATTTTTGCGAGGCCATTCTAGTTGAGTATTTTCCTCCCGGGGTCTTTTCTGATCTCTTTGAGCTGCAACATCTGGTTTTGCGTGAAGGTTAGAAGCTTATTTTGTAGAGAAATTTGCTTACATATCAAACAATTCTTATGTATTTGCATAACCAACACTGAAATTTTGATAAATACATTTAAAACGCTTTGGTATTAAAAATAGAGAAAAGTGTCTAAATAGTCCCTTGACTCTTTTAGAGGTTTATTTTAGTCCAACGTCATGTTAGTCTCTGGATTATTTTAGAGACTTTTTTAATGGGGGCTAAAATAGTCCACCCTGGGGATCATTTATGCCTATATTAAAAGAGTACAAAGACTAATTTTACACTTTTATAGAATATGAGACTAAAATGAGCCCATGTAATTAGTTAGGGAACTATTTTGGCACTTCACTCATTATATTTGTATGTAGGAAAATGTGCATGTCACTTTTAAAAAGTTAGTGATTGTGTTATTTTTAATGTGATGACAAAGATTTGAGTGGTATGTTTGTAAATATTAAATTTTAGGTGTTAAAATGTAAATATATAAAAATTTGTGGTTTGTGATATTGAATCATAGCCTATTGTGTAAATGTTAACTTCTTTTGGTTTTTGCAGTGTTTCTCAGTGTTTTTGTTTTTGGAGACAAAAACCTGGAATTGCCTTCTGCTCTTTCCAATAGATCAGTAGTAGAGATTCACATAGATGTCAAGAGTGATGCCCACAAAGTTGTTGTTCAACTGCCTCTTCATTCTAGATATCCGGTGAGCTTGAAGTTTATATTAAATTATTCACATATTGTTTTTTTTCAAATTTTAATTAAATCATGCCTGTTGCAGTTGTTTTTTTTAATGCAAAAAATATGTTACCCTTGAAAATTATTATGCATTTTTTTTATTTTTGAATGAAGAATGAGTTCTCTATCATTCAACTGTTGTATGCGCTAGGCAAGAGGAGAAACTTCGTCTAGGTCTGGATAATTAGCCATTTGGCGTGTATTGTTTATTTAATAGAAGTCTTTGGTAGTGCTTGCATGTTGCTTTGCAGACACATGGTGGAGGCTTCTAACTGGTAGTTGATGCAGTACTTTTCTTTTAGTTATCTATAAAACACAACATAATTTCAGAAAGTATATCCTTATCCTGCATCAGAATCTAATTCTATTATTTTAAAGTTTGCTATAAATGATTAATTGTGATTATTTGTTTTCTCTTTATTTTCTAGAAATTTAGAAACTTGAATTGAAAATTTCAGTTCTCTTTTTTTCTTGTTGAGAAGATTAACAATGCTGAGAGATGGTGAGGGAAGGTAATGAAGTGAAATTACATGTCATGTATATTTCTTTTAGTGGTAATGCTTATTTGGAATGAGGCAAGAAGTGCTCTTTGAGGGAATTAGTTTCCGTTGTAAACAAGATTTGCTTTATTACACCATCATCTTTTTTGACATTCAGTTTTTGGTCTATTAAGCTTTTTGGGAAGCTAACATCTCTTGCTTTCTTAAGGAATTGGAATCTAGATGCAGTTCTTTGCACATAGTTGGATTAATTTTAAGGAAATTTACATACCTAGCACACAATTCTTATCTATTTACATATCTCACACCCAAACTTTCATTTTTACATAGCACTTTGGCCCTTTCAACCTATGCATGAAAAGATGTATTTCACTTTTAAAAAGTGCTATAGGTGCCTTTTCTGATGTGATATTTATGATTTGAGTGTTATATGTGTGTATAAAATTTAACGTATGAGATATGTAAATTCAGTAGAATTGTGTGATATTTATGTAAATGCCCCTTAATTTAAATACAAGAGCGTAATTGAGAAATTTCATAAGATAATGAAGAGCATCACGTTAGTACTTGTGAGCACTTCATCTTGTTCTTAGCAGGCTACTTGTTAAAAAGCAAAATTTTTGTTCATGAATGTGGACTAGATTTCAATTACACACGTAATAGACAGGATAATACTTAAATTTGTTAATTATGTGTTATGTTTATTGAATAATCTTCAATTTTGTTCCATTAGCAGAGTGAATAAATATAAATGAACTTTATTGGAATGTGGCTACAACGTTTTGTTAAGATGATTATGAAGTTGTTATGGAGAAAATAACTTTTTCAAAAGCTGCTATGTGGGCATATATATATATATATATATATATATATATTTATATTTTTTTATAATAATTTTCTTCCAGGTAACACATTTTAGCAAACCTGAATGTTAAAGGGAGATTCCCATCATATAATTTTTTGAGGAACAAGTAATCAATAATCAGACAGAAGTTTGATAATGATTTAAAAACAAAAATAATGAGAGATCTACCTAAAGCAGACCCATAAGTTAATTCTATTGCATTATGAAGATCTCAGCATACTACCAGCCCTCCCCAACCCTATATCAGGTTGATGTCTATGCATTGGGGACAACATTAATGCATATAAAAGAAACACAAAAAACAAACCTTCTTTTAATTACTTTATTTCATTAGTTGCCACTTGCCAGCAAAGGAAAATCATGCCATTTTTTCCTCCAACAAAACCATAGTTTTCTTATATTTAGTTACTTGCTAAAATGCTGTTCCTCGCAATATATTCTTATGACATCCAATATTTATAAATCTAACCCTCTTTTTCATCAGCCTCTTGATTCAAGTGGCTACTCAAACATAACAATTGGCAAACCAGACCTGTTCATGCGTTGCAGACCAAAAGACTCCCAAATTGAACCCTGTTCTTGGACTCTGATTGATTTGGGCGTCTTATCTACAAGCAACGTGACATGGAGAATTCCCTGTGGAAATGAGGTGCACACAAGACCTGTAACTATTATAACCTTTTTATCAGCTCTGATCTGCTCTCTTTTAATCGTTTTATCAACCATTTGTCAGTCTAAGAACAGAAGTAAACTTGAATAGCCATAATTGAGCACTGAGCCTTCTTATTGTCCTTGTAGTTAGTTGTACGTAGCAATTCTCTTCATTTGAGAGGTGAGGTCATGCATTTTGAATATTTTAACAATGCAGAATGGGATGATATTTTTGTCCGAAATCGTAGTATAAGTGGAATTATGGGTGGCCCATGAGTTACAGCATAAGGAAATTTACATACATACAATACAATTTTTATGTATTTTTATATCTAATACCTAAACTTTTATATTTATATTTAAAACACTGTGCGATAAGCCTATACATAAAAAGATGTGTTTCACGTTTTAAAAAATTGGTAATAGTGATATATTTGATGTGATATCAAAGGTTTGAGTGTTAAGTATGTAAATATGAAAGTTCAGGTATTAGGTGTGTAAATATATATATGAATTGGGTGGTATGTATGTAAATGCCCTGAATAATAAATGACATGTCTTTGGTCAAGTAAGAAAATTAGGAACATTTACATACTTACCACTCAGTTCTTATGTATTTACATATCTAACAGTTACACTTCAATTTTTACATATATGCAACCTTACCTATTCATGAAAAGGTATATTCCGCTATTTAAATGTTAAAATAATGATATTTTTTATGTGATATGAAAGATTTAGATGATGTAAATATCAAAAGAAAAATTTAGGTATTACATATTTAAATTCATAAAAATTGGGTGGTATGTATGTAAATGTCCCAAAAAATTATGTCCTTGGCTTGAATTTCAACCTGTCCCCTCACCCTCTTTTTTTTCTTCCTTTTTATATCATCGGGATGTGCTAATGACTGGTTTGGTTCGACCCCGTTCTTTAAAAATACCGGCTCGACAACGTTCTTTAAAAATTTATATTAAACGCAGGCCGCGGGTTCGACCCCATGGCCCGTGTTCTTCGCTAACCTATTACTCTACTACTCTCTCGCGCTCCCCTCACAATGCTGCCCTCTCTCTCACATTTCTTCTACCCTAGTCACGCTCTCTCGATCGCTCCTCTCTCCTCTCTCGTGCTTCTCTCTGGTGGCAACGGGTTGCCTTTCTCCTTTCCTTCTTCCCTTCGATCTATGGTGGCAACGAGTTGCCTCGCAACTCTACCTATTCCCTCTGATCTCCGACTTTCTCTCTATTTATTGTGCTCTCCGTTCTCCTACAGTATCACCTATATTTTTTTGTTGGAATGACTTTCTCCTTGCAATTTGTGGCTTTCTCATTTGCAATTTGAAGTGAGAATTTGAATTTTATAATTTGTGGTTTTCTCTTTATGATTTTGAATTGGATTTTGTGAATTTGTGGTTGAATGTGATATGAAATGGAGTTTTATATACACCTTTAATGTTTGAGTGAGAATTTAAGAAATGGCTGAAAGAAGGTGCTTAATTTGTTGATAATAATGTTTCGAGTGCCCTGCATATAGTAGTCTCAAATGAAAAATATGGGGTGGGGTTTTATCTTTACATTTGATGTTTGAGTGAGAATTTGAAAGAGAAATGACTGAAAGAGGGTGCTTGATTTGTTGATAGCAATGTTTTGGGTGCTTTGTATGTAATTGCATCAAATGAAAAATATGGGGTGGGTTTTTATCTATACATTTGATGTTTGAGTGAGAATTTGAGAAATGGCTAAAAGATGGTGCTTGATTTGTTGATAGCAATGTTTTGAGTGCTCTGTATGTAGTAGTCTCAAATGAAAAATATGGGGTGGAGTTTTATCTTTACCTTAGATATTTGAGTGAGCACTTGAGATATGACTGAAAGAGGGTGCTTGATTTTTTGATAGCAATGTTTAGTGTGCCCTCTATGTAGCAGCCTCAAATGAAAAATATGGGATGAGGTTTTATCTTTACCTTTGATGTTTCAGTGAGAATTTGAGAAATGGCTGAAAAAGGGTGCTTGATTTTTTTATAGCAATGTTTCGAGTGCCCTGTATTCAGTAGCCTCAAATGAAAAATATGGGGGTGGGGTTTTATCTTTACATTTGATGTTTGAGTGAGAATTTGAGAAATGGCTGGAAGAGGGTGATTTTGTTGATAGCAATGTTTTAGGTGCCTTGTATGTAACTGCATCAAATGAAAAATGTGACTTTTTAAATAGAAATTATATCTGTAATAAAAATTTTCACAGTTGTTTCTTCAAGCAATTGTAGTTATCCCAAATAGATCCTAAGTTGCCTCAAATCTATATAAGACTATAGTTTATCACTCTGGGCTGATTGAATCAACTAGTTTAGCTCAGTGTTGTTAATTGCTCACCCACTTTGCTCTTGCAAATCATTACTTAGATTTATCATAATTAGACTATCCTAATCAACTTAAACTGTATAAGGTATATTTCATTTTTTTTTTGGACCAAGCGTATCTGCAACAATAAGGTGATTTTAAATTAAGAAGATTATTTGAAAATGTTAAGTGAAATAAATGATGAAATTTTTGCACAAAAGCTCATGTCAAATGAGCATTTGATGAGATGGTCTACGGAAATAATTTTTTTCTAAACAAAATAGATGATTCTTGCAAATTTAATTGGCCCATGTATACAAGCAATTGCACAAATTAGTTTTGTATATTTATTCAGCTTTGCTTTATCCAAAATTTAATTGGCCCATGTATAAAAGCAACTTCTAAAATTAATTTTTGTATATTTCTTTATCTTCTGCTTTATCGAAAATTTGAAATGGTTTGTGTCATGAAAGCCGAAACATTTTGCAATTAGTTATATTTTTTCAATTTATTATTATTTTTTTTTTTGGGAAAAATAACCCCAAAAAGTAATATGCACGATTTGAATCTGCTACCTCATGATGAAAAATTATATCCTTAGGCGGTGTGTGGCTGCGATGCAAATTAGAATTTATCAAATTTGTGAAATCCTGAGAGTGCGTAAGCAATGGTGGAGCAGATCAGTTTAATCCGCCTCACAGTTGGATTTGTATGTAGATGTAACTGCGGAGAGGGGCTATGTGGAATTACCGCATATTCTGTCAGGACTCCTAACGTAGAGAACCATTCGAAGTCCAATAAAATCACGCCACGTGGCGGTGGTAGAAAAAAATAAAAATCGGCCTGATAACACGAGAATATTCCCCCCGTGTTATTCCGTACACATCAATAACACTTGAGTAAAACACAATAACACTTGAATAATATAAAATGAATATTCTCGTGTTATCAGGTTTTTTTTTTTGTCATCGTTGCGTGACGTGATTTCATTAAACTCCGAATGACTCCCTAGGTTAGGAGTCCTGACAGAATAATTTTTCACTAGGTGAGAATTGAATTTACGGATAATTGGATTTTGTTTTCTTATGTGTTTGGATGAGTTTAGATTAAATTCATGGCTAAATCTTGTTCAAGCTGTGTTGTGCTTCTAAACGCCTCATTAATCATTATATCCCGGGTGAGGGCATTATTTTTCAATTTAATAAAAATAAAAAATAAATAATTCCTAACAGTGGCTGACGGATGCTGATTTGAAGTTATCACCCAATAATAATGTTAATAAACATTATTTTCTTCCATTCAAAATTACCAATAAGCATATTATCTAAATCATTTTCTTGAAGTTTAATTGGTCATGTTCTAATATTTGCATATAAATTTTCATGTTGAATATAATAATAAAACACGTATTTGCATGCTCCTTGATTTATGTTGTGTAATTTTATTATTTAAGCGCTTAAATCTTGTCTTTCATTTTCCTCCTAGTTAAAGCAAGGGTATCAACTCTCAGAAAAAAAAATATTACATGCGGATAAGAATAATCTGTATGCGCATAAATATACTCGAAATGTATTCATAATATCTTTTGAATGTACTTAGAATGTACTGAGAGCTTATACCACTAATTCTATTCACACATTATTTTCTCCATCAAAAATTTCAACCCATCTTTTTCACTTTCCTCGTAGTTAAATATCCGTTTGGGGCAGCTTATAAGTGCGGGCAACATTTTCAAAACACCACCGTACCGTTTGGTTCGCATGTTTCGCCAGATTATATGAAACTGCCGACGGGTCGACCCCCGCGGCCGGCCCTTTGGTTGCATTTCTGGATAAGCAGTTTATCCTGAAACACACAAGCTGCCCCCACGTGGCGGTGGTAGAAAAAAAATAAAAATCGGCCTGGTAACATGGGAATATTCCCCCCGTGTTATTCCGTAAACATCAATAACACTTGAGTAAAACACAAAAGCACTTGAATAATATAAAATGAATATTCTCTTATGTTATCAGGTTTTTTTTTTGTCATCGTCGCGTGACGTGTTTCATTGGACTCCGAATGACTCCCTACGTTAGGAGTCCTGACAGAACAATTTTTCACTAGGTGAGAATTGAATTTACGGATAATTGGATTTTGTTTTCTTACGTGTTTGGATGAGTTTAGATTAAATTCATGACTAAATCTTGTTCAAGCTTTGTCGTGCTTCTAAACGCCTCATTAATCATTATATCCCGGGTGAGGGCATTATTTTTCAATTTAATAAAAATAAAAAATAAATAATTCCTAACAGTGGCTGACGGATGCTGATTTGAAGTTATCACCCAATAATAATGATAATAAACATTATTTTCTTCCATTCAAAATTACCAATAAGCATATTATCTAAATCATTTTCTTGAAGTTTAATTTAACCTAATGGGAATTTAAGATTTTCTAAATCAAACATTTCATTGGTCATGTTCTAATATTTGCATATAAATTTTCATGTTGAATATAATAATAAAACACGTATTTGCATGCTCCTTGATTTATGTTGTGTAATTTTATTATTTAAGCGCTTAAATCTTGTCTTTCATTTTCCTCCTAGTTAAAGCAAGGGTATCAACTCTCAGAAAAAAAAATATTACATGCGGATAAGAATAATCTGTATGCGCATAAATATACTCGAAATGTATTCATAATATCTTTTGAATGTACTTAGAATGTACTGAGAGCTTATACCACTAATTCTATTCACACATTATTTTCTCCATCAAAAATTTCAACCCATCTCTTTCACTTTTCCCGTAGTTAAGTATCTGTTTGGGGCAGCTTATAAGTGCGGGCAGCACTTTCCCCGTAGTTAAGTATCCGTTTGATTCGCACATTTCGCCAGCTTATCTGAAATTACGTTTGAGTTTTTATACTAAATGCAGGCGACGGGTCGACCCCCGCGGTCGGCCCTTTGGCCGCGTTTCTGGATAAGCAGTTTATCCTGAAACGCACAAGCTGCCCCAATCAAACACTAAGCAGAGGATCCTGACTTTCAAAAAAAAAAACAATAATCGAACACAAGTATGATACAACAACAACAAAAACTTAATCCCACTATGTAGGGTCGACAACATGAATCCTTTTTCTCCATTGAGTCCTATTTAGTATCATATTTTCATTTAGTTCTACTAAATTGAGATCATTTCTTTATATAATAAGCCCAAGTCTTCCTATGTCCACATCTGCCTTTCTTAACAAAAGTCGAATCTAAAACATCTACCCTCCTAATCAGATCATCAGATGGTCCACGTTTAATGTGACCAAACCATCTAAGACGGCTTTCTCTAATTTTGTCCGTCACAGGAGCTACACCAACCCTATCACGAATATATTCATTACACATTTTGTCTCTAAGTGTCCGAACACAAGTATGATGAGGGTTTAAAAAGCATTTCAGTCCCAAGCACTCATATATCACAAGTATGCATTACAGGTGGAGCATATTTTAGCTTGGAACAATTATCAATTTATCATTTATAATGACCGAAAGAAGCACGAATGATGCTAAATCTTGAATCCTTGAAGCCATTGATGATAAGCTTTTCATCTCATTATCTCGGTTAATACAAAACCCAATCACATAAACATTAATAAAAAAAGACTTGGAATTAGATAATGAGCAACTCCAGCCTAATATTTTACTTTCAAGCCAGAGCTCTCCTGAGACGGTACTGTTTTATGTAGGCCGTAAAAGAAGCGGCAGTTGTTGAAGCAACTAACCAACTGCAAAAAAATAAAAAGGGTCGTTTACATAAATAGCATGCAATTATTATGTATTTACATATCTCACACCTAAACTTTCAAATTGACACAAATAACACCCATTTATTATGAATTCTGGTGACTGGGTTTATTTGGTGCCCTTTTTTGGCCTTTCGTTATCTTCTTATTCAACTTTCGTCTTCAAAGTTGGCCTTTCGTTATCTTCTTATTCAACTTTTTTTGGGTGTAGTTGGAGACCTCAAGCCGGCTCTGTATTTTTAGCTTAAACCTTAAAACCAATACCCTAAGCTCTTAAACTTTAAACACTAAACCTTAAACCTTAAATAAATAAAAAAATATAAATATTAAAAAAAAACCTTATACTCTAAATCAAAAATCCCTCAACCATATGTCCTCAACACTAAACCCTAAACCCTAAACTTTAAGACCATAAAATTCTACGCTAAATCATAAACCTTAAACTATAAACTATAAACCATAAACCATAATTTCGAACCTAGAACTCTAAACCCTAAAGCCTATAACTTTAAACCTAGAACACTTAACCCTAAAACTTAACCAATAAACCCTAAAGTATTAAACCCAAAATCCTAAAACCTTAAACCCCTACTACTAAGCCCTAAATTCGTTAGACCTTAAACCTTAAAATCTAAAACTTTAGACCCTAATCTTGAATAAATCCTAATTTATAAATCTCCCACTTAAACGTTGAATAATACACCTTAAACCCTAAATCATAAAACCTAGAAACTCTAAAACCCTAAACCCTACACATTAAAACTATTAAACTCAAAAATTTAAAATCTACCCTAAACCCCGAAACTTAACTCTAAATTTTAAACCTTTAAACCTTAGAACCCTAAACTAAAGCTAATAAACCTCAAACCCTAAATCATAAACTTAAAAAACTTTAAAGACAATAACAAACTAAACCTTGAACAATAAACCATAAACCTAAAATCATAAATCATAAACTCTTAAACCTTGAATAATAAACACTAAATCCTAAACTGTATAGCTTAAAACCCTAAGTCTAAAAATATAAACTCTAAACCCTAAAATCATAAACCCTAAACCTTAAACCCTATACCCTAAACCCTAATATGAAAAATCTTTAAATATTAAACTTTAAACTCTAAAATTTAAATATTTAACTCTAAACATTTAACCCCCTAAATCTTAAGCCATATACTCTGCATCTTAATCCTTAAACCCTAAGTCCCAAAATCCTATAGCCTCAACATTAAACTCTATAAAGCCAAAAACTTGAAACCTTGAATGCTAGCTAAATAATAAACCATAAACTCTTAAAATTGAAATGCTAAACTCTAAACTCAAATTACTAAAATCTACACATAAATCCAAAATCCATAAACCCTACGCCCTAAACGCTTAACTAAAAATCATAAAATCTTAAATCACTAAACCCTAAACCTTAAAATCTTGAATCAAAACCTTAAAAGATAAACCCTAAACCCTAAACCAAAACCATAAACTAAATAATATATATCATTAACCCAAAATTCATAGAACATACACCCTAAACCCTAAACACTAAACTCTAAAATCTTAAACTCTACACGCTCAAAAGATAATAACCTCAACTCTAAATCCTATACCATAAATCCTAAAACCAAAGCCCTTATTCATAAACTCTAAACTCTAAATCCTAAATTACAAACTTTATAAGATTTAAACACTAAATAATAAACCCAATACTTTAAACCTTAATCCTAAAGCCTAAATTCTAAACCCTAAACCCAAACTTTATAAACCTTAAACCGTAAATCCTAAATCTTAAACCTTTGATCATAACTACATAGACTAGCTAAATCCTAAATCTAAACGCTTACCCAAAACCCTAAACTCTAAACCCTAAATAATGAATCCTCCTTAAACCCTAAACCCTAAACTCCAATTTTAGCCCCTCGACTTAATTTGAGATTTAGGATGGATGCTTCACAAAAGCCTCACTTATTTTTTTGAGTTTTATTGCTGTGCCCCCTTTTTTTAGTTTTCATGGCTGGTGGTTATGTTTATATGCAGATTGTTTGGACTTTAGTGATACGTGGCTAAGTATGTAAATGCAGAGGAATTAAGTGGTATGTATGTGAATGCCCCTTCTAAGTATAAATTTAATTTAGTGTAAGATATGTAAATACATGGAAATTGGGTGGTATGTATGTAAATGCCCATTCTAAGTATCAATTTAACATCAAATTTGGACCAAATCTGAAGCTAGCAGATTTCAATCCAGTTTATATCCAACATTTTAACGAACTTTTCAAGATTCTAACGAAGAAACTCAGAATTCTGAAGGTATAATGCACAAGGATGTCAACTAATTACCTCAAATAAGTTATGTACATCTTCGATTCTTCATTTCCAAGTTCTGGTTGCAGAAGAGCAGCAGCTACTAAAAGAAGTTGGAAGACTGTATTGACCTGATAACAGTGTATGTTCAAAACGACGATGACGACAAATATATATATAATAATAATAATTTTAAAAGACCTTGAAGACAAAAATTTGACAGAAGAGGACATACTTTGCTGATGAGGAGAGGCTCCACCTTCTCCCTATGAGCATCATCCAAATTTACAAAATCAGACCAGCTTTTCCACTAAATGAAAGATCGACTTCAAATGGTGAGATTTTCTCATCATGTTGATGTGGTTATGCAAAGCATCTAATTCTAATGTATTAACATATCTCACGCCTAAATTTTCATATTTACACGCACAACACTCAAATCTTTAATATCACATTAAAAATAGCACTTATCACTTTTTAAAAGTGAATACACCTTTTCATGTATAGGCTTAAAGTACTGAAGTGCTATGCATGTAAATATAAAAGTTTAGTTATGAAATATGCAAATACATAAGATTTATGTGTTATGTACGTAAATTTCCCTACTCAATGGATACAAGGACATTCACCTGCCAACCCAGATTAGATGCTCTTGTGAAAATCGCTCCGCTGACAAGGGCAATGTCTCGTAATATAACAAGTCCCACGAGACCGGCTTCAAAATCCAAACTTTTAAGACAAATAATTATCCCAAATAAAAGAAAAAAAAAAACTTCCTAATGTGTCAAGCACGGAACCATTAACACATCAAATCAACAATTTGGTTTGAGTCAAAAACTTGATGCTCGTCTCTCATTTCTTAAAAGTACCAAACTGCAATTTTGCCCAACTATGATCAAAGGAATGACAATTCATTTACAACAACTTTATTAACCACACACAAATCAAGGTTTTATATATAAACCTACATATGCTTAGCGATACATCGTATACTTGTGCATTATGAAGGCTCTAATGACTAGAATCATCCAGATATATTCAAAATAAAGAATATGCAAATTTAAACTGCTTCAAATTTAATACAACTAAAAGAAACCCACCTGCGCACGTAGGCTGGTTATATGGATAATATATATAACTTAATAAAGGAAACCATGGTTTAGCCTTTTAATTACAAGAAAACTTACAATTTATAAGATCTTTTTTAACCATAGCAACTGCAACACAACCAATCAGAATCTGCCATATTAAAAAGAAAAACCAAGATCAATATTTATTACAAATGCAAATTTCTAGCAAGTTTAAATACGGTCAAATGTCAGTTCTCGAGCAGAGAATCAACATTCAAAACATAGCATTGATGTCCACTTTTCAAAAATATGGTGTACCCAGATAGCTCGATGGATAAATATGAAACAAAATGAATCAAAACATGTTCGAGATTAAAGGGTCAACCTTATCTGCAAGTGGATCCAGATAAGATCCAACCACAGAATTAATATTCATCTTTCTGGCAATGAAACCATCCAACTGTGACACAAATAAAAATTAAAAAAAAAAAGATATAAAAGCATCAGCACCATCAAACAAGCAAAATTGTATTCCAATCATAGTTTCAAAACTTACCCAATCAGTTGCTCCAGAAAGACTCAATCCGCAAAAGGCATAAATATACCACTCATTCATGATCATCCTGTTACGAAGAATTCCATAATGCTTTGATTTGAGAGAATGCCAAATAATAAATGATGAGTATTAAATACCATCATGTCTCCACTATTCTTATTCAGTACAGCTAAAGATAAAACTAAGCATTAATGAATTCATGTATATTTCTTTCATATATCTTTTAATAGCCATAAAATCAGCTACAAACAGGTAATTACTAGTACCACACATATTGCTTAATATGTAACTAATGAACTTAACTGATATCATGCTATCTAATTGCTTATTTTTTTCCTGAACCAATGTCATCATAGATTAAGCCGAGATTCTTTCTTTTCTACCTAACAAACTCTCCCATGAACATTTAATCGACTCCATCTAAGATATCCTTCTGATAACTAACAAAAGGCAAACTAAAACAAATCACCTACCAACCAATGACAGGCCCTGAAACCATTCTGCTGATAGAGATCAAGTTGGGTAAATTCAACCATCTTTCATCAACACCAACCCTTTCGGCGTCCGCATGATTCTTCCGCCCCTCCACATACCGCACATCTCCAACGGCACTGCTTCCCAGTCCAATAGGGAATACCCTTTCCCGAAACAAATCAGAGGGGAAGATCGCCTCCCTCCCTCGCAGATACAGAGGAGTCGCCGACTGCGAGAGCTTCCAAGCCGGCTGTACAACGGGGAAGGGAGGCCATCCGGATAAAGGGGAGACGAGACTTGATCGAGGGGATGGGAGGCGGGAAATGAATCGCGGAAAAGGAGGGATGAAGAAAGTCGAGGGCGGAATGGAACGAGGAAGATGAAAGGGAGAGGGGAGGCAGAAAAAGTGGGTATAAGATTGGAAATAGAGGGAAGATCTGCAGTTGTGGTTTCTGAGGCGGGAGATTAGGGTTTTAACGATAAACATTTGAACATCTTTTGTGGCAGAGTTGGCGACCGCAGGGATTTAGTAGAAGTGGTGCGCAAGCAGAATAAGGCGGCGTTTGGCCGGCTAGCTTGCACATCAGATTTATGTTTAATGGGATTTATGGATTTATGTAATCCAAAAATAGCGGGAAATGAATCGGCTTGTATTGGTATTTTTCATTTTTGCGCAAATAGAATTTTTTGGGAAATTTACATAAATACCACATACTTTTAATATATTTATATATTTTACATCTAAAAAGTGACATTGCACTTATAATACTTTAATGTCATAAATTAATGCATGAATAGATTATTAGCTTTTTATAAGTGAAAATTTTCTTTCTTAATTTTACAAAAAAAAATTATTTTATTTTAAAAAAGTTAATAATAGTAATATTTATTATGTGAAGTTAAAATTTTGAATTTAATAAATGCAAATATAAAAATTTGTCTATTTGACATGCAAATACATAAAAATTATGTGATATGTACGTAAATGCCCCCAGTTTTTAGTGAGATAATTATTTATGAAAAAATTCAGAAGTTATTATTTTGAGAAGTTTACATACATACTACATAGCTTTTTTAAGTATATATATCTAATATTTAAACTTCTATATTCATACCTAAATCAATTGATGAAATTAAATGAAAGATGAAAAGTGATTAGAGCAATAACTTTCTGTCAAAGAATAATATTTTAACTTCTATATTCATACTTACAACACTTTGTTATGCATTTAAATGCCCCTATTATGTTTGAACCCTCTTTGCTATGATTAGAGCAAAAACTTTCTATCAAAGAATAATTGTGGAAGATCTCCAACAATATGCATATCATAGAAGTTTTATTTTGATTTTCACTTTTAATTTATGAATGTGTGTATGGCCAAAAGTTCAAGGATCAGGTTCAGAGCAGGTCTGAGATATCAATCCAGAGAGAGAGAGAGAGCTCATAGTGCAAACTAGACTGGTTCAACCAAAATAGTTCGACCAATCGATCAACCCAACCAGAGAGTTACAGCTAACAACTCACCCAAGGTGATTTGCATGTAGATGTCTGCTCAGACTAAGGCAGCCCAATAACTCACCCTGTGACAACTTGGTAGAACTCTCAGTAAGACTTATTTTCCTGAGAGAATCGGCTCCCCCATGTTTAGATTAATTGGTAGATGTGTTGTCACCAACAAGCTACGCATGAGGAAATACATCTTACAAGGAACTATTTATTATTCATATAAGGGGATAAGAATAACTTTAAAAATAACACGCATGTGAGAAGATGATAAAGGGAATATATTGATGATCTCTCAGAAAACTAAGTGTGATGAATACTTGATTTGTAATACATAAACCAATTCTTTTATAAAAAGGGGCGACCCTTACAATATAGGGAGATGCTCTACTTATGTTGAAGAAGCACATCTTTTTTCCTTCCCTTGCACAAATATCTATCTTTAAAATTAAGTGTAAATTATATGTAACCTCATCATCATTATTATATGCAGTTTTATTCTAACTATTTGGCTAGACTTGTCAAATTATTGTGATAAATTAATATATAATGAACGTTAAGAACCCTTTTCTGATTAATATTATACTTTGTGTTGCATCCCAAGAATAATGACTTGTGAGCACAACATAAAAGCTTGTCACTGCTTACTGTTAATAAACCCAAATAATGAAGATAATTTTATACAACTAATCGGACGATAAGAAGTATGAGTGCTCAATTATGATGATTACATTTTACTTTGTTCTTTACAGAATAATATATGCTTGATAACACAACTACAAGAGAGCAGATCAGAGCTGATAAAACGGTTATAATACTTACGGGTCTTGTGTGCACCTCATTTCCACAGGGAATTCTCCATGTCACATTGGTTATAGATTGGATGCCCAAATCAATCAGAGTCCGAGAAATAGGTTCACTTTGGGAGCCTTTAGGCCAGCAACACATGAACAAGTCTGGTTTGCCGAGTGTTATGTTCTAGTAGCCACTTGAATCAAGAGGCTGAGAAAAAAAGAGAGTTCGAATAAGATACTCTGGACATCATAAATCATTATTTTTTTCTCTTTGAGTAGAAGCATTATAGCTAGTAAAACTCAATATAAGAAGATTATCCTTTTGTTGCAAGTGGCAACAAATAAAATAACATAAATAAAAGAAGATTTTTTTTCCTACATAGACTAAGGCCATGTCCAATGCATAGAGTTTTACCAAATATAGGTTTTAGGGAGGGAAGGTTGTATTCTGAAACCACCATACTACATAGAGTCAACATAAGGTTTATTTAGAGCAACTTTATCACGGCTTCACTTTTAAAGCTATTGTCAGACCTTTGTTTATATATTAGTATCCCCCATTAAAGCTTCTTAAAAAACTAGGGGCATTTACATACACCTGCCCAATTCCTGTCTATTTATATATCTAGCACCTAAACTTTACTTTTTTTACTTTTACACCACCCAAAACTTTCATATCACATCAAAAAATCTTTATTTAAACTTTTAAAAGCAAAATATATCTTTTCATGCATACCTAAAGTGACATATATGTAAAACTTACAGTTTAGCTGTTAGATATGTAAGTACATAGGTGGTAAGTGTGAAAACCTTCCAAAAAATTATTTTATCAGCTGCCCCAAACATACTCTTAATTGCAACTCCAAAGCTACCCTCTTCCTTTACATGGGATGCATATGGAAATGTTTGATATGAGTTGACAGGCTTTTGATTATGGGGAACTGCAGGCCCAAGAAGCATACAAGAACTTGAACCCACCTTCTTTTCTTCGTTTAGAACAAACTCATATAAAAGTCATTTATATTTGTCCACTCAACTCATCGAACAAATTTGAACATAATTCAAGAAACATAACACAAATTTCTAAATTTCTAGAAAATAAAGAGAAAACAAATAATCACAATTAATCATTTATAGCAAACTTTAAAATAATAGAATTAGATTCTGATGCAGGATAAGGATATACTTTCTGAAATTATGTTGTGTTTTATAGATAACTAAAAGAAAAGTACTGCATCAACTACCAGTTAGAAGCCTCCACCATGTGTCTGCAAAGCAACATGCAAGCACTACCAAAGACTTCTATTAAATAAACAATACACGCCAAATGGCTAATTATCCAGACCTAGACGAAGTTTCTCCTCTTGCCTAGCGCATACAACAGTTGAATGATAGAGAACTCATTCTTCATTCAAAAATAAAAAAAATGCATAATAATTTTCAAGGGTAACATATTTTTTGCATTAAAAAAAACAACTGCAACAGGCATGATTTAATTAAAATTTGAAAAAAAACAATATGTGAATAATTTAATATAAACTTCAAGCTCACCGGATATCTAGAATGAAGAGGCAGTTGAACAACAAATTTGTCGGTATCACTCTTGACATCGATGTGAATCTCTACCACTGATCCATTAGAAATTGCAGAAGTAGATTCTAGGTTTGTGTCTCCAAAAACAAAAGCACTGAGAAACACTGCAAAAATTTTAAAAAAGTTAACATTTACACAGTAGGCTCTGCTTCAACATTACAAAACAAGCTTCTAACCTTCCTGCCTAACAAGATGTTGCAGCTCAAAAGGATCAGAAAAGACATCATGAGGAAGACACTCGAAAACAATTGCTTCACAAAAATGCTTTTCAAAAAATTGAGTAAACTTTGGATGATTTTCGAATACCATTGTGTTGACTAGTTGTCTTTGGGAACTTTCACCGATGAGATGACGTGAAAAGGATGAAAGTCCAAATATATCTGTATTATTAATCATCCCTTCAACCAAACCACAAGAGTGAATTTCTGATCCAACAGCTTATTAAAATCCGATAGGTGTCTGTGGGTATCAAAGAAAAGCCCCTTCAGATGATCTTGTGAGCAATAGAGGCAGCCAATGATATTTTGATATTTACATTTCTGCCAACATGAATAATCCAGATTTTGGTAGGTTATGAAATTTAGAAATAAAAAGATAAATCAACACCATAAACATAAGATTGCATCAGACATAGCATCTTTGACAGTCGACTGAAATGTCAACATTACCCCTTTGCAGTAGTTTAGCAAGACTAATATGTATATAAGAATAATAAAATAAAGACAAACCATAAACAAAAAATTTAAAAAAAAACACCAATATTTACATGGAAAAAACTAGAGACGTGAAAAATAACAGACAGAGAAGAAGAAATCATTACACTGAAAGGTAGAGAAGTTCGGACAGAATCTTGCCCTACATAGAGGGAAGGTTGTACACAAAGTTGTGGCTCATCAAAAACTAAAATTAAAATATATGCAAAAATATTAAGACATTATATAATCTGACTAAAATCATAGTTCAAGCGAACTTGGTGATAAATCAAAAAGTTAACAAGGAGGGGTAATTAAGAAGCTTGTCTAGTATACTAACAGCTACTTATGGAATCAAAATTGCATCTTTTCGCCTAAAGAAAGATAATAATGTGAAATATACAGAGTAATTAAGAAGTTTGTCTTGTATATAATGCAACCATTTTAAATAGAAGGCAATTACCATAATAATTTGAGATTATGCAAAATGTACAAATGATAGTAGGAAGGATTAGATCGATTATCAACATTAAATATGTAATGATTATAAAAAAGCTATAAAAGATGTCCGAAGTGAGGAGCTTTCATTTATATTTTTTTCTAGATAACATAATTCTAATCAACTAAAAACCCATTGAAATTAAGGGGAAAAAAATCAGTTAGAATAACAGAGGAAATGTTGAAAAGATTGTCTCCTTAAAATTATGTACAACTTAAAATGATGTAAAATTAACAATTATCAATTAATATCATTTAAAAATAAAGTTATACATATTACTGACAGGTTTAATAAGCAAACATTAAATATGTAATGATTATAAAAAAGCTATCAAAAATGTCCGAAGTGAGGAGCTTTCATTTATATTTTTTCTAGATAACATAATTCTAATCAACTAAAAATGTATACTAACAGCTACTTATGGAATCAAAATTGTATCTTTTCGCCTAAAGAAAGATAATAACGTGAAATATACAGAGTAATTAAGAAGCTTGTATTGTATATAATGCAACCATTTTAAATAGAAGGCAATTACCATAATAATTTGAGATTATGCAAAATGTACAAATGATAGTAGGAAGGATTAGATCGATTATAAACATTAAATATGTAATGATTATAAAAAAGCTATCAAAAATGTCCGAAGTGAGGAGCTTTCATTTATATTTTTTTCTAGATAACATAATTCTAATCAACTAAAAACCCATTGAAATTAAGGGGAAAAAAAATCTAATCAATTAATAAAATTTGCGTATGTGATGTACAACTTAAAATGATGTAAAATTAACAATTATCAATTAATATCATTTAAAAATAAAGTTATACATATTACTGACAGGTTTAATAAGCTGGAACTATTATACAGAAGAATGTAATATATATATATCTATCTATCTATGTGTTTGTGTGTGTGTGTGTGTGTGTGTGTGTGTGTGTGTGGATAATATAGAGAAGTGGAATCATGTCAATGAGAGGGTATCAGAGACAAAAAAGTGACATTATAAAAATGTCATATGGTAAGAGGAGAAAATCAAAAGAAATTCTAATTTCGTTATGATGAATTGTCATCTCAATGGACCAAAAATACTGTTACAACATAAATTTCAAGCCAAAACTATAGAGATGCATATAGATACCTTGTTAAAGAATTTTGTAAGTTTGCAACTTCTATCATTAGTTTAATGCACTTTGCCTATAATCTTTTTTGGGTCATTTTTTTTCTATCATTTGTCTTAAGAGATTTAAGACTTTCTATACCCTTTTTGCTGCTACTTGCCCTCTTCAAGCTGAAGTTGATGATGTTTTAGCTGCTCTTCAAATTGCCAAATGTTTTGCTTGTACTAAAATGAATATGTAGATGGATTCCTTGCATCTAAACAGATGTTGGTCCTCTAAGGACACTAACCATGGGTCCATTCACCCTACTCTCTAGAGGATTCTTATTGTCCTCGTGGGTGTTAAGTTTGGTGTACTCGAGCTTTGGGAAATTCATTAAGTATCCCACTTTTGTATGCCACTCGTGATATTTTGTTTAATAGGCTAGACCCTCTCTCCTCTCCTGTGATACATGGTTCAAATTGAATCATGTATATTTTGGCATTCTAGATATGCTCACCTCTTTTATAACAGGTTTGTGGCTCATTGTATCATTTATTGATCAACACTTATATGCAAGAGCTAGGAGGTTTTCCTAATTGGTGTGAAAATGATGTACAATGACGAATATGATTGTCATGAAGCTTAAGATCAATCCATAATTCCAATAGTTCTCAAAGATTTTTTAGGTATTGAACAAGCAAGATGTATGACATTCTATTTCAACCAAAATGTATGACATTCTAGTTCATCTAAAACATATAATGCCCTAGTCCAACAAAGATGAATGAAAAAGTTTTATTGACATTTCAACAGTTTTTAATGGATGAATTCTTGATTTATATCTTTAAGGAAACAGTCGTGGAAAAGTTATGGCTCAAACTGAAGCCTTCACCCAACACCAAAAATCTCTCCAACAAATTTATTCAGAATCATAAATTATATTAAGCTCACATGCAAGAAAGTACACTGACTAAATCACATGTCAATGAATTTAATTCTATATTTAAGAATTCAGAATATTGATATAATTATTTATAATAAAAATCAAGTATTTCTTCATAGGATAAATATATATTTGAAAATTTGTGAATATAATTAATTATTCTGGATAGATTTAAATCAAAATTTTAAGCTCCTCAAATAGCTTATAAACAGGATGGTGTTGGATTGCACAGTAATGCGCACACATGAATAGATGTGCAAGTTACAAGTTGAACAAAAGTTTTTTGAGCTTTAACTGCTTTTCAAAATTCAAAACAAAAATAAAGAGGAAAAAAAGAGGAAGTAAAAAGTGCTATTGCGCAAGAAAATATACAGAGACGTAGAAAGGTCCTGTATAAGGAGCTTCTAAAATAGATATTTCTAATATACTTCTCTTAGTTTATCATCTCTTCTGAGTTGTTTTTTCTTCTATTATTTTTAAGAAACTTGGCGTTCACTCTTGCATTAAGCTTGGGAGTAAAAGGATTTCAAAAAAGGGATGTTGCGTGCCCAGATTTTTTTCTTTCCAGTTAGTGGGCCAATTTCTCATCATCTCTTTCATGAAAGCAAGTGTAATTTAAGTAGAAAAACAAAGATCTTGGTACTCTTTGTGTGATTAATCACTTTTGTATTTTTTACAAGTTCATCATATTTGCTCTTGGTTAATGCATTCATAAAAGTGGTAGGTTATTCTCCTAACCGTTTCTTCTTGTTTCAAATAAACAAACAAATCAAATCACTTCTAGAAGTATGATTCAATAACTTTTGAACTAGCTCTAAAAGAGATAATCACAAATCAACAATAAAACTCGAAAGAAAAGGCATGAGATCTCTAATTATAATGGATTTGGTACATGAATTTTCAAAATATACGAAAATAACTAACATGTAAGATGTGTGCTAAAATGAGAAAGAATATATAAAAGTTTTTTACATCCATCAAGTCGACTCATTTTATCATCATCTCTGCAATAAATTGCATACATAGTCTTGATTTATTTCATCATGTTCTCATTCACCGGAGACTTTCTCTTCTAAACATGTCACGTTCAACAATTTTTTAAAAAATCTCTGGATTTTGTGGGGTGAAAAGCACTGTTCTTTTATAAAAAATAAGATGCATTGGGCGTATAATTAAAATAAACGAAACATAGGGCACTATCAAACATACAACAACAACAAAGCCTTAATCCCGCTACATGGGGTCAGCTACATGAATCCTTTTTCTCCATTGCGTCCTGTTTAGTGTCATATTTTCATTTAGTTCTAATAAACTAAGAACATTTTTATACAATAAGCCCAAGTCTTCCTAGGTCTACCTCTGCCTTTCTTAACATAAGTCGAATCTAAAACATCTACTCTCCTAATCGGATCATCAAATGGTCGACATTTAATGTGACCAAATCATCTAAGACAACTTTCTAATTTTGTCCATCACTGGAGCTACACCAACGCTATCACAGATATATTCATTTCGCATTTTGTCTCTAAGTGATCATATTTCGTTCGTTTGTTGCTTTGATGTCCGATCCAGATTTCACAGCCTTGGATATAAGCATTTTCAATGTGATGTGATTATTTTGGTACATATATATATATATATGTGAGATAATTACATACAGAGCATAAAAAATATTCATATTTATAAATCAATTACTACATTATTCGAACTACCAAATCAATATAATTATGCTTGTCACGATCAAACTAACGAGGATTAGATAAAAATGAAAAATATGGGTGGTGTGAATGTAAATGCCCATAAAAAAATATTACAACCGGTATGATTTGAACTTAAAATTCTAGCCATGTTAGTATGCCAAATAAAACAAACAGCAATCATCTGATTAATCAATAACAGGGATTTAGGCCAAACAACAGAAAGAAAACAAGACAGTAATCACATAAACTATAACAATGGATGCCAGTCTCAAAATTTGATGGATGTTGTAATCCAAAACCAACTAAATTTCACGTCACTATTCAATTTTACACAGTAAAGCTATTTCTCCAGAGAGGGAAAACAACAGTTTTTATCAGTATTTTACAGGCGCTATTCTGCTACAATCAACTGCTGCAACTTCAACTCAATCATCTCAGCTTTGCTTGGATAGAAGAAAAGTGAAGGAAATGAAATAAAATGACAGTTCCAATATGTTGATTGATTATAAATCAACAATCATTTTATCATTTCATCTCCTCGCACTCAAATCCCAGGCATCAAAACCCAGCATTTGAGATTTTATTACTAGTTTTTGGAGCAATGAGCGTCTGTTCCATGCTGGGTGCAGTGACTATAACCAAAACTTTCGAGGAATTCCCTGATCTCCTTTCTGCTGCTGTTACTAGCCGCTAACAGCCGCTCATCTTCCTCATATATGAGATATGGAGCTTCACCTTTTCTTCTTGATAGTAACTTGATCGCTCCTTCAAGAACATGGAGCTCCCACCCTTGAACATCAATTTTCATCAGTATAACTTTCTCATTATCAGGAATAACATTATCTAATGGGATCGTCTTGACTTCAACGGCAATCTCTTCCATGGATTTGAAAGCTAATTTGGCGCCAGTTGCAGAGATGGCACTGTTGTCGAGGCGGCCGACGAGCTGATTATCATGTAATGTGAAGGTGGGGTTAGCTCAGCCAAAATTAACATTTGAAATTTACAGAACAAAATGCCAGACTTGGAAGGCTATTATAGTTTCAAACAACAAAGTTGAGGCTCATCAAAAATTATAAATAAAATATATGCACAAATATTGAGACATCAAAATGATAAGAAAAGATTGGGTGTACTAGGATTTCAAGAAAGATTGGTGTGGCTTGATTTTCAATATTAAGTTTTTCAGACGTTTAAAGGATCAATTCATCTCCACTTTCCCATGAATATAAGTGTAATATAAGTAGAACAACATAAATCTTGGCTTTCTTTGTGTGTTAATCACTCGTGATTTTTTTTCTTTTTTTTTCTAGGGGATTCGTCGTATTTGCTCACAGTTACTGAGTTTAACAAACTACATAGGATTTGGAAATGTTTTCTTCGAGCCTGTCCGTGAAATCACATCTCAAGGGAATAGAGCCTAAGAAAATAGGAAGAGATAGAAGAGAGAGAGAGAGAGAGAGAGAGAGAGAGAGATGAGTGCTTAGTAACAAATTGTAAAACATATTGTCTATCGGTACTTTCTCATAAATTGAGCTCTCTATTTATATTTATAGTAGAGAGAGTATAATGTGTGTTATTACATTTCTGACCCTGCTTTAATTAAGTCGTTATAAGATATTTTAAGTATTTTATATGTATGCGCCTACTGCTCGACTAACCTATGATTCGGTTGGCTAGTTGACTTGAATTCAATTTGTCAAGGTTGGTTCGGTCGGCTAAGCTTGAGTTGTGCAGTCGGTTGGCTAGATTTGATTAGTTTCGGGTTGGCAGGGCTAACTCGGTCAGCTAGACCATCTTAATCGAAATGTCTAATCTGACCATCTACCATCGATCCCTAGAAAAGGAGTTTCGATAGACAGAACGAGACTAAGGCTCCGTTTGGGGCATATTATATGCTGCGGCGTTTGAGCAGCTTATCCAAAAACACATTTGGTTTTTACACTAAATGCGAAACTCGGGTCGAACCCTGCAGTCCGCGTTTCTAGATAAGCGGCTTATCTGGATAAGCACAAGCTGCCCCGAACGCACCCAAAGTTATCGAGCAAGATGATAAATCATCGCAACTCGATAGATAGCTCATTCTTTAACGAAATGGTTATTTGGGATGATTGTGATGCTCTATTACATGACCAGTTCTTGGTCCCTGATAAGGAATCATTGGGGTGTTTGTTAGACAAAAATTGATGCCGAGGAACTGAATTCTTTCCTCGGGTCGGACCTAGCGAGAGATAGGTAGATTTCTTCGCTCAATTTTCTTATAGTAGTTGGCTCGGATGCCTATCTCATTTTAGTCCAATGGGTTCGGGTTTGGGTCAATCGGTTGTCTTCATGATTTGATCAGTTTTGTCTTTGTTTGATTTGGCTCCGACCGCAGCATTCGGTTGGATAAGTGGATCCACCGGTCTTCTGCCGGTGAGACCTGTTTTGTTGTACTTTCTTCCTCCTTGAGTGTTTGATCTCCTCAGTTGGCACATTTTTTCATGGACATTCTCAAACCTCAAACAACCAAACGAACCCTATGAATCTCTGTAAAAGATTTTCCATGCATTGACGAATGCAACACAGATCCAACATAATCCAACACATAAACATCGTTTGCAGAATCTAAATCACCCAAATAAATATAAAGAAAAAAAAGAAAAAAACATCAACAAACTTTGAAAAAGGTCCTACCTTGTGCAACGTGATGTTCCCCATCCGATCTGAAGCAGCTGCCTCGAATATCACCACTCGATCCCAAAATCTATTCAAAAACACTCCATCGCAGATCCGCTGCAGGTTCTCAAACACCGGCTCAATCGCCACCACCCTAAATCCCATGGCGGCTGCTGCAAATGCCGCCATCCCGACGTTAGCTCCGACATCAATGACAATCCCATCGGCGGGCTTAGACCCACGGAGAAACTCCTGGATGGTAGAAGAGATGTCCGGGCGTCTAAAAGGCTTGCCTTTAAGCATACGGATGATGTTTTTGTGCGGTTTGTCGGGGAGGGATCCGAAATCGGCCAGGGAGTAGAGGAAAGGGTAATGAAGGCCCTCTACGCGAGCTGCAAAGACAGGGGTTGCTTGGGGAGAAGCGGAGCAGTCAAAGGGAAGAAGAGTTAGGCCGGTGGGGAGGTTTAGGACTGGGGGGGTTTGGAGCTGAAGGGAGATCGGGTTAGCGTTTTGGGAGGAGAGGGGACGGAGAAAGATTATGATGAGGAATAAGAGGAGGATGACGGACAGGAGGAAGATGCCTCGTAAGGAGAAGAAAAAAGGAGACTTCTCCTTCTTCCAGGCATTCGGCATTGCTAAAGCCGATCGAATGGAATTGCGATTTGCACACTAAACTTGGATATGGGGCTGTTCGCATCAAGATTTGAGCAGAAATTAAGAGGGATTCAACCTAAATCCTGCCAAACAGCAAAAATAACATACACAGAGGGATTGTTTGGCAGCAGGGTTTAACCTAAATCTACCAAAAAGGCCACATTGGCAGCTTTAAGGCTCCTTTTGAAGAAAAAATATTTCTAACAAATGTCCACAAATTTTAACGGCCAATTACCAGCCGTCACATTGTCCGTAGATAACATGCATGACGACGTGATTGTCAGTGATTGGCACTCCGGATGTGCAGTATTCAACAGAGTATTTTCTCGGCATCTGCTATTGGAGAAAGGGATATTTGACAACTCAACGTCTTTGAAATGTCTCCGATGTGAAGTGGAAGAACATGAAAATTTTATTGTTTCAAAATGCTCATGAGGAGTCCATTTCTGCAATGGGAATTTTTAAGGACTTCTCCATTCAGACGGAGCCGAAATCCTACATGGTCTTAAAATCCAGATTCTCCCCCGTTTTGGTTAAATTCAGGTTTAGTGAGATGATTTATAGAAAATATTACCGTGGGACGAAAGTGGACCGCACCACACTGTTGAATGCATGGTATTGTGTGATCTGTGCTACTACTCATGCGTCCGATTACTCATTTAATCGAGCTTAAGCGTGCGAAGGGAAACGAGAGGAAGGAAGAGAAAAATGAGGTTAGTTGGGTTGGGAAGTTGGAGATTTGTAGAGAACAAATTTTATGATTTAATTTAATTAATTAATAATCACTAATCAATAATTATATCATCAAATTAATTTAATTGATTAGTTGTAGCTTCAATAACAGTAGATATGTGTGAAAATAACTATATAAGTGTTAGTAGAGGAAGCTAACGAACAATTGTATCAAGTTGGTATTTGAGAAGCTCAACAAAATTATAAATTAATAAACAATGTTTTTAATAGCTGCTTTATTACAACTAATAACTGAAAACAAATGCTTGCTTGATTAAGGCTTAAAGGATTCAAAACTGAATTGCAATTTTAAAAAAGTTTTGAGAGAAATGTAAATATAACTAAAGTTTATTATTTGACAAAGGCAACTATAAAGATCAAGTAAGTTTCAATTACTTGCACTGGCTTGATTTATCCTAGCAAATCAATAAGATGCAACCTTTATTTTGTCACTCAATCCTTTTTATATTGCTATGAATGAAAAAAATTCACAAAATTTGGCACATTTATTTACTTATTGTGGTTGAATAGTTATCTATACACATAAACATTGTTCTTATATTTCATCATGGCATGAAAAAAATTAAAATCAAACACTAAAGTCTTGTATCCAATATTCATTGTAAGCAATGAAGTCATGTTTTTTAAAGAGAAGTACAAACAATTTCATAACTGTAGTTGTTATTTTTGTCATCACAGAGATTATTAGCGATCAACACAGAAATATCATATATTATTAGTGATCAGCACAGTCTTGTTATTGTAGTTATTATTTTGTCTTTAACTGGTGTTTATTCACCACTTTGTATCTCTGGGTTTGCTTTCATTTTCTGTTTACTTTGATTTTCTTTCAAGATTTGATGCACACACTGTTATTTGAGTAATAAAGTTGTGTTTTACACATCACTTTATTTGAATATAATTGTAATCGCGCACTCAAGAAAATTTGGTGTTTCTTTACGGGCTTATATGAACAAAATTAAATAGCAACAACAAAAAGTTCTTACTGCCATTCTTCAATATGAGCACAATCATATTTCCAAGAAAGAGTAAGGTCCATTTCAACCTACATCCCAGACTCGAAAAATACATAATATTTATTGGGACCTAATTATGCTTTAATCAGTCCCAAGATGACTCAATTTGACCTCTTTCATAACAGATTATAGTCGACAAACAAAAGCTTTGACTACCATTATATGATATGACAAAGATTCTTATTGGAATTTATAGTTTCTTTTTCAATATATGCTACAATTGTTGAGCAAAGGGCTTCAGATAAACAACCTAGGATAGGTCAAAAAATTATTGGTTGATTTTGTTCAATTTCTTCCATCACATGTTATAGTCATCAAGTAGATACTCTGATTAAAAACCTAGGGTAGGTTAAGCATCACTGACTATGAAGTTAGGTA